TTATAATGCTTTTTTGAATTTATTGTAGTGTTTTTGTCGGATAAAATAGTAACTTCGGTAAATCATGACAACTTCTTGGAATTATTGATGGAAAGTCAGGGATTTGAAAATCTAAAATGTCGCAGATACCATGTACATATCAAAATGAAAAGCAATCCATAGCTGAATATGTCCCAACTTTGCAACATATTTTAACTTATGTGATTCTTAAGTCAAATATGACTGCACAGTCAATAAAACACTTATCACATGATAAGTGTTTTAATGGTATGGGTATTTCTCCGCACACTATTTATACATAGAATTCTTGATAATTGGATTCGTTAACATACAATCTGATATTGCAATGTTTAATATATTTATGCACAGGCCATTGCTTTGGAAGCTTCTCATATACAAAGTAAAGAACTAATGCAAGAACTCTTTTAGAGAATAAAGTGACTGAAATAAGAAATAATATATTATAAAAATGAAAAATTTAGATAATTCCTTCCTTCAGCTATCCTATGCCCGTTTTACTTGTATGGTCTTAATTGATGATAAAATATGAGGTACATTTTGTTATGGTTATTAAAACATTATATGTATATATATGCTTTTTTTTTCCTTTCAGATATGTTATTTTGAAACCATCTGTAAAGGCTATCTATGGTTTTTTTCTTCAGCACCATCTTGGAATTGGCGATGATGTATTGTAAATTAAAATGAAAAAGGAAACAATGTTTTGAAAGCCTCTCAGCTGTTACAAACGCCATCTTGGGTAATTTTATAGACTTAGAATTTTAAAATTTGTAATAAGACTTTACTTTTTCACGAGTCATTATCTTGCACTAAAATGGATCAGTTATTCCTTAAATTAACTACCCTGGTCCTTCCTGTTTTATTTTGCTTAGTTTGTATTCTGAACTCTAATACTTTTACAGCATTGTATGTTTCAAAGTTCGAAAGTTAGCCGCTCTTAAGGTTTTGTAATGTTTTTCATGGCATCTTTTCTCAACCATGGCATCTTCTTCTAGTTCTCAGGGTTTGTTGATTTAAATCAGCTTGATTTATTACATGATTTAAATCAAATGATTTTTTTTTTAAAAAATCATTGATTTTGAAAGTTAAAAAACAGTGTTTTCAGCTATTGATATTTTTATTATTTTTTTTTTTAGTTTTAAAATTTATTTTAAATAGAGTGCTGCATTAATTAATTTTAGTTATTGAAATTGCTTTCTTTCTTGGTGTGTTTTAAAGTCCAACACATTTGAAATTGCATTTTTAAAATTTTTTTTGATTCTTGAGATTAATTTATGGCATTAAATGTGTACAAATTAAAGTACACATTTAATATTGTCTTAATACAGACTTGTATAGCTGTAGAAAGTAATTAATAAACATGAATTTTTAAAAAAAAAATGCAAATAATGTTTATTAAAATTCTACCTTTTGATTAAAAAAGCATGAAATTAAAATCTACATTATATTTTATTAGTGGCAAATGTTTATTTCTAAAGCTATAATAGAAAGATGGGTTATATTAGAAAGAAATTACCCTAATATGTCAAAAATAGAAGGAAAGAAAAGGGGGCTGATGAATTCAGATGTTTTTTTCCTGATATAGTGTCATTCTTCCCTTTCAAAGTCTATTTAAAGCAGCAGAGTTATTAACTGGTATTTTTTTCTCATAATATGTTTATAGTATCTTTGACATAATCAGATTTTCTTTAAAGAAATTTTGTGAAAAAAAATTCCAATGAGTACATAGATTTTTGAAAAAAATTTTTTTAGCTTCATTTATTTATTTTGATATGAGATTAAAAATTTATTACCACTTAGCAGTACCTTTACGAAATACTTCACTATATCTAAATCAGCACTGTGGTAACCTTATGTTAGATGTGGAATTTGTATTGACTAGCCGGGTTCCAATCCCAGCCGATACTGGGATTGGAACCTGGATCACCTCATCGAATAGTGATCAAATAATTTTTAAAAATTATTCAACGAAAAACTTTTTTCCGTCTATTATATTATAAAATATAATATTTTCCATATGTTATTAACTTACTTGTAAAGGGCCCCCATATAAAAATAGGCCCGGTACTCCTGGATACTTAAAAACTGCTCTGATTCTATACAAAAGAATTGTCAACCTAGGGCTGTTAGTAGTACTTGCGTTGTGCTCATGTCTACTTTAGTTCATGTAATTTTTAAATATAACTATTTGTCTTTCAATTTAAAAGTATTAAAATTAACCACAGTTCATGTCTTATTTTTTTTCAGCTGCTACCTTCAGATTGCTCAAAGAAACTAGTTGCTACCTTCAGACTGTTTAAAGAAACTAGCTGACTAGAAAAAGCTGAAAAATTTGGTGAAGTTCTTGCCACCGCCAATGACCGGGAAGGCAGGAAGACTAAGTTTGCCTCAACTGACACAGTTTTGTTTCAGAAACAATTGATTGTATTAAAGAATACAATAAATTAGAGAAATTAGTATATTATTCTTTACTATTTAATAAAAATTATATTTCATCTACACATTTGACAACCGTTCAAGCCCTAATAGATATTTTGGCAACACTTTAATGGATAAAGGCTATAAGTAAATTAGATCACAGTTAATTGTACCATGCTCACCCTTTTTTAAGTCAGAAATCTGAGGAAGTGACTCCTATTATTTTATTATGACAACATCAGTGTAAATATTGCTTTTTTTTATTCTTTTTATCAGTTTTCTTAAAATCGAACCTGATGCTGTGAAGATAAGGACTTTTGTTTTCCATGCATACTATTTTAGTAAATTACAGATTATATAATACTAAAATGTCACAGCAAAAAAGTTTATCGTTTTAAATTAAACGTATTGTAATTTTAATCTACATAGTAAAATATAGATGCTGTAAAAATTATTGCACAAATCACTTAAAATATTAAAATTATTTCACAGTATAAATGGCTGCTTGTACCCTGAAAAAGCGAAGAAACATCTTAACATAACTATTTACTTTCTAGCTTATTTTCTAGAATAATAGTAAAATATACCTGCCTACCCAAACTTATTAAATAATAATTAAAAAATTCTACAAGTTTTGGTAATAACAAATAATTTAATTTTAAACAAGCTAGAACGGTTTTGTTAGGTTTTTCCAGCTTACAAACAGGCATGAATATTTTCTAAAACTAATTTTTATTTTCTCAAATAACGTAATTTTGGCGATTATCTGCATCCCATAGCATTCGTTTTTTGAATATCGTGTTGACGATGTCGGTCGACATAGTGCAACGTTTGTAAACGCAGAGAGATGTCGATCGACGTTCCCCAACGTTTCTACAATATTGTTTTGCAATATTGAATATACGTTATAAAAGGGGTCCATTTTTATATAGTACAATATTTCGCTACGATATTGTACAATGTTCAAAGCTAAGTTCTTACGATATCGCATTTGTGAATTGTGCTACTTGAGATTTGGAAGAGATTTATTGCTTAAAACTATATGAAATTAAAATGCCCGCCTTTAGTTATAATTTTTAATATATATTTTTAATATATTTAATATATATATAGTATAAAAGTACTTTATGACATATGGGGCATTTATACAACTGATATATTTCCATGTACAATTATCTAAATAATTAAATTTTTAAAGGTATGATTTTTTTTAAAGTTTCGGAATATTTGTTCCGATTATGACATTTTCCTTCTAAAAAATTGTTATCTTATTCACCATATCACCGACGTCGATTCTCTCTTATCATCGGCAGATGGCAGCACAATAGTCGTCATTTATAACTTCTGAGTGTTGATTTATGCTTATGTGTACTAAGAAGTTTATTATATACGATTTCATTTAAAATTTAGAAAAAAACAATTCTTCTCAATGGTTTAAGTTATCGATAATATGTTATGAAGGGGAAGAAAAAAAAAGATTAAAAATACGCGCATAAGGATGATAATGATGTTAGCATAATCCCCTTGATCATAGTGTAAAATAAAAGTATTAAATAATTGTGTGAAATAAAAGTATTTTTAATTGAATTTCAGTTACATTTCTATGGTTGCTTGCGGCTTTATGATATCCATAATAATAAAATATCTAAATTCATAATAATAAAGCTCGGATCCTTTTGCTCATCAATACAAGTCAGTTAGGAAAACGAAACTAAACATATTTTTTATTTGACCAGAAAAAGAGAGATTCAAATTTAATTACTCGATGTAATCTTTTTTTCTTTTTCTTAAAAGAAATTTTTTTAAAAAAAATAGCAACGAAAATTAAAAACAAACGCAGTTAATACGGCTATAAATCTACCGTCTGTAACTGCCGGTCAAGTAACCCGCAGTTAAGAAAACTACGGTCAAAAAATAATGGTGGAATCGCTTTTGATCTCTCGGTCAAAGTTTCCAAACCGGGTTTTTGGAACTGGGAGTTAAGCGTTAGGTCAGAGTCAATGGTGAATACGGGGATTAGAATACAGCATCAATGACATACAAAAGGTGGGTATACGCTCGGTGAAATAGGAATGTAATTACTAAAGAAAACAGAAATAAAATCTAAATGAAATTTTAAAGAAAATGGTAGAAAATAGATTCACAAAAATTAAAATCCAATTTATATGTAAATATGAGCAGAAATTATTGTTCCTGAAAATATTTCCAAAATAATATCCTAATTTTGTTTTATATGTAAAGGAAATTTAATTTTGAAGAATATATTTATTTTCATATTTTAACGTCCTAGAATTTCCTTTATTAATTCTTAGCTACTAATTTCTACTTACTAATTTCTTAATAAAATCTTAAATAATAACAAATTTAATGTTTTATTGACATTCCATTTTGTCAATTGGATTAGCCTTTATTTGGTAAATCTCCAAGAACTTTCTGCATACCCTAAGAAACTCTTTGAAGTTTGGTATGGTGTTCTAAATTATGTTTTTCACAATTTACCTTTTGTTAATTCCAAAGAAGCTTCATAACCATATCTGTAGGCTAGAGTGAGTGATTTTTATAAGTCATATCTAATACCAGCTGAATGAATAGTAGAAATATTTCTACACAATATAATGAATTTTTATTGTCTTATTATTTGTGTTATTACCACCATTCGCATTCTGTTGACCTCTCATCATAGAAATTGAAAAGTATGGGGCAGAAATTTTCAAAAATTGATTTAAAAATCGAAGCAAAATTTATTGGTTACATTCTCACGAAAATGCAATTTTCGGTAAAAAACACTACGACAAAGTCAATAGTTTCCAAATACTTGATAGTACACCCACAGTAATCATCCCTAAACAGTTTACAGAGAGGTTGGAAAAAAATAAAGACTTAAAACATAAACAATTAAACCTATGCAAAGACAGAAAGTTCTTACATATCTTTTAAATGCTCGAAGTTTTATTGACGTTTAATTTTGTAAATTGATGGAACCTTTATTGGCTAGATGCCAGGGGGAGTTCTCCGTTCGGCTCTCCAGGAACCTTCTACATGCCATTAAGAACTTCTGTTGATTCCAAAGAAACTTCATAACATTCTCTGTAGGCTAGAGTGAGATTTATCATATCACTTTCAGATAAATATATTGCCAATGCTTGAATTGTATCACTGTTTAAATTCACTTTATATTTTTCTAAAGAACAATCAGATATCTGCTGCCAAGTGTAAATTTTCTCATTACATAATTCCTCTAATATACAACTTTTTTTTAAAGAAGCAATGATAAGATCTTTACAATAAGGGTATTGATTAAATTTTGATAAAACTTTTTTAGTAAGAAATGTCTTTAAATCATCTTCATTTACTTTTGCAGTACAGCATTGCTCATTTATGTACGAAAACAGAGTATAATTTTCACTTATCCCTTCTCCCTTCATTGCATTTAATTCTTTTAAGCAACCCTGTTTGTATGCAACCAACTCGTCATAAAATGGAAAATTGTGATAAAGTTTCAAACTCAACAAAGAAGAATAGGTACTAAAATCAGCCAAGTTAGGTTCTGGTTCAGCATTTGATATTCTTTTGATGAGAATATACTGTATCAAAAGCTTCGCTACAGGCATTATCTTGTCTAAAAATCCTACACAGTCATTAGCATTAGCCCCAAACTCAGGTAGCATGTTTTCAGCACATAAAAGTGTACAGGTGTTTATAATACCTTCATCGAGGATACTATTAAGTTCATCATCAACATCTGCTCCATTTGATAGTAATAGATGAATTGTGCACTCTTGAAAATTTTCATTCATCACCTCCAGCAAATCATATAAATCATCTCTATTATTTATTTTTACTGAACCAATATCTTGAAGTGTCATCACACGACCTTGTAAAGACTGCATTCTAACTAGGGAAATCAATTGTATGAATTAGTCAAGCTTAAACAGTAAGATAAAGACAAAATATGTGTGGGCACACAATCCAAAAGTATCAGCAAGCTCATAATATTTGTGATAATAGAATAATTTTATTAAATGGGGAGATTTCCAAATCCTGATCCGAGCCAAAATTATCGCCAAGTCTTGGCAGAGGCTAAATTGTAGCCACCCTCCGGCAAACATCTACATATCTATAAGATTTGCAAATTTAAAATCTATTTGGCAATTGTAGTTGGCGCGTCAGATCAAGATACGGAAATATCTCCACATTAAGAACATTAGAGAAAGATTAATATTAATAGTTATACACCTTTCGAGTTCGTCCCCTTTTGTGATGTTTTTTTTTTCTTGCGGGCCACTGCCCGGAAGATGCCAATACTTGGCGATTATTCTGCCACAGATTACGAAAATCTCCCCCTACATACATATACAGTAATTATCATATTAAGTAATAATAATTTCGCTCCAAACAAAATTACATTAAATGATTTCCTACTGTCACCGCAATCGTCTATTTTCGTTGCATTTTAAACTCGTTGATTGTAAAGCGATAGTCGCATCGAGGGCGCTAACGATGGTATCGCTAATCTTTGGTTCTTTGGGATAAAGTGTCAGCTGTGTCTCTCTTTGGAAGCAGCCTGCATACAACTTAATACAGACTTTCTTCTACCTTGCTACCAATGGTATTTTCTCCCCCCCCCCCCTNAAAGAATACAAGAACACTGTAATTTTTTTTTTTACCCTGGGATACTTTTTATCATATTACAAAAAAAAAAGTTTTAAAAAGTGTCTCCAAAATTGGATAATCACCATCAATGTATCCGCGCACGACTTGCGCCTATATTATCTAACTATGGTCACTAAATTGAGTTGTTACGCTCCTGCATGCATTAAAAGAAATATCTATTCTCATGATAAATTTTAATCTCTATACATAGTAGTACATTAATACTAGATTTTTAAGGAGAAATGCTATGTAACCAGCAATATAATTTAATGCTTTTTCTTGGGAATTGATCATCTTGTTTCCCAAATTAAGATCAATATCCAAAGACATAGGAATGGAGTTAGTTAAGTTATGCATTATATCTTCAACGTTGTCTGGAATATCATTCTTTTCGGAAACTATATATATATATNTCATATAATTACGAGCGAGTTTTCTTCCCAGTTTTTCTTTTATTATTTGGATATCTTTTTCCAAAACTTATATATATATATATATATATATTTATTTATCTTTTAACCGCTTTTTCTAACAATTCCTCAGTCAAATAACAATCTATTTCTGATTTTTTTATTTCTGTGCATACTTTTGACGAAAGATTCGATAGCTTATTTGCAATTAACAAGTGTTTATATCTTTTAATTACTTCGATAGGACTAGGATGGTCATTACATCCGCCACGACCTCTTATTTGGCTAAACAAACTCTCCAGAGCATCTTGAGTTAATCTAGTAGTTAAAATGTATCCTACTCTGACGGATTTCAAATCTTCTAATAATGAAGATGTAGAGATAATAATTGCTTTTTGAAAGTAGACATTTGTTACCGTGCACTCCCATTTTGCTTACAACTTCTCTGACTTCATTTATAACAAGTGATTGAAATGAAATTGAATACAACCTAAATTTCCGAAAGCAGATTTCATACTTTTTGCTGGAGGGGACACTAAGCTGTTACTGTTCATCAAATCAAAAAAATCATCGATTAATTTAAAAAAATCATGTGCTTTCCTGTTTTCTGTAAACTTTAGTAATACTTTTGCTATATCGTGGCAGAGAATAACACCTTTGCTGTATAACTTTCCGGCTATAATTACTTTTAACTAATAGATATGACTCTTTAAGTTTGTGGTACAATTTTGTTTCTCCGGTATCTTTCCTTAATACTTCTTCAACAGTTCCAGAGTGGATCAAAGATTCATTATCTAAAATTATTTCAGAGTCCAATAAATGATTCCACAGTAACTTTACGTACTGAGGCATATCAGCAAAAACAAAAATTTTTGACGATAGTCCGATAAGATTTAAAAAATGAACAGATTCAATTGTTATTTGGAAATTCTTCCAAAGTGTCCCACATCCTCCTAAGTCAGAAACAATTGCTTTTACTTTGATTTAATTATTTACAAGCTTTATATGATTTTGAAAAGTAAGTTAATATTTTACATTTTGTTAATAATTTTAAACTTTTGTAATCCACTTAAAAAATCTGAGGTAAATCATTATAGGAAACAACGAATGTCTTGGAATATGTCAAAAGGAATGCTCCAATATTAGTTAGAGCTAATTAATCCAAACGTTCCGTTCATGAAGTAAAAGTGCGAGATTTGCGCCGCCGTGATGTCACAGACGAAAATCGGGGGTTTGGCACTGCGAGAGTTTCTTCGAAGGAGTGAACCAGCCCTTCTTCTCTTTAGCCCTGGATGCGAGGTCCATCATTAAGACTGGTTTCGGCGAGAGAAAAGTAGACTTCTTTCTTCGGTCTATTTTATTTTATTTTATAACCGTCGGTGAACAGCCGACCCAATTTCATGGGTTTACGACTACTTATGTTCAACTCCGAAGCCTTGTAATTTTGAACCAATCCTGAAGACAAGGAAACTCCTGGATCAGTACCCCCAGAGGTTTTGATTTGTTATGGGAACATGGAGGACTTTGACACGGAGAGTCTTCGGCCGGCGAGGATCGAACCCTCGACTTCTTGGACACGGGTCCAGCGCCCTACCGACCAGGCTATCCCGGCCTCTCTTCGGTCTATTCTATTAGCTCTAGAGTGAAGAGAAATGAGCATTCGCGCTTGAAACATCGTTTAGAGCAAAGATACGCTTCGCGATCGCTCTGTGTCACAGAAAGAAGCATCATGTTTTTTAGAGCTTTTAGACTTCATTCGATTTCTCTACGGAATATTTAAAACGCGCGCACTACATTTATAAATAATTTCAAGGGCAGCGCGTGCCTAGACAAGCGAGAGAGATAGAAAGTAACGCCTTATCGATATAAAAGGAGTGCGTTGCGTCGGCGTGACGTGAGTCAGTTGAGTAGAGTAATCGAAGGATTTTAGTTCAACTGCAAAGTAGTGATTGTGAAGGTATTTTGCATTTGTTTGTGTCGTGCTATATCCATAATTGTTGTATCGAGTTCCATTGTTGTTATGATTTTGCCATAATGCAACAAAAACGTAAAGTTGATAGTGAGTGTAGAGTTTTTCAGTCTAAATGGGAAATTGCATATTTTTTTCATAGAACAGAAAAGTAAACCAATGTGTTTGATTTGCAATCAAACAGTTGCTGTTTGTAAGGAGTTTAACTTGAAGACGCACTATGTTACGAATCATATATCAAAATTCCCTTGTTACACTGAAAAAATTAGAATGGACACATTGTCATCTTTAAAATCTAAACCTCAGTGTCAACAATCGATGTTTACCAAAGCTAATACTGAGAGCGAAGATGCCCTGAAATCAAGTTTTGTTATTGCATTAGAAATTGCGAAGAGATCAAAACCTTTCACTGATGGTGATTTTATTAAAGACTGTATGTTGAAAGTTGCCGATGTTTCATTTCCATTTCAAAAATCAATAATTCAAAATATTTCGCTGTCAAGAAACACCGTTGCTTCAAGAATAAATTATTTATCTCAAAATTTGGTTCTTCAAACTGAAGGAGAAAATTAAGGAATTTATAAACTTTGCGCTGGCTGTTGACGAGAGCACTGATACTGTTGATACAGCTCAACTTGCTGTTTTAATACGAGATATTAACAGTAACTTTGAAATAACTGAAGAACCATTAAAATGCGTTCCATTGACAGTTACTACAACAGCAAATGATATTTATTCTGCAATTCAGCATTTGATAGCAGAATATGAACTCGACTTGACAGAGCCGTTTTTATGTTTATAGGGGCCCTGGGCCTGTCATTATCTGGGGGCCCTTTATGAGTAAATTTAGAGAAAAAAAATTCAATTTTGAATGATTTTTAAAAATTATTAGTAAAAAACATGTAAATTAATTATAAAAGCTTATATACATTATTTTTATCGAAAATTTAAGGTAAAAATACTTTTCGCGCTTTTTGAGAGGCGAATCTTCTAACACATCGTCAAAATCAATTTCCTATAAAACATTTTGCTTTGCAGCTCAAAATCTGTAAAAGACTTAGAAAACATTAAACTATAAAGGTGTGTAGAAAATATGCAAGAAGTTAGAAAGAATACAAGAACATACAATTTGATTATTAGTTTTTTTTTTCTTTTTTTTTTTATAATCGCCGTTGAAAACTGACTCAATTTTGAGCCAATGTTTAATTACTTAGGCTTGAAATTTTAAAACCAATCCAGAAGACAAGGAAACTCCTGGATCAGTACCCTGAGGTATTGAATTGTTATGTGAACTTGGAGGAGTTTATGACCACGACAGATTTAACATGCACCAGTCACCATTTTATATTTGGGTATTATTCGACCGGCTCAATTCGATTACCCATTCTCACGAACACGATTCCATAGCCCTACCATTAATCAAGCTATCGTGGCCAAATTATTAGTTTATTTTATATCAGTCATTGAGCAGCCCACTCGATTTCGAGTTTACTACTACTAATGTTTAACTCAGAATAATTTTGAACCCAATCCATGAGACAAGAGAACTCCAGGATCGAGTATTGGAAGAAATTTTTGCCTTCGTGGAGGACGTTTTGATGGAACTAACCCATTTTTGTGTTACATAGAAAGGAAGAACACGAGTACCTCCCACGGTTAGCCTGACGGCAAAGGGACTCTAACCCATGATCCGCCTACCACTGAGGATATTTCACGTCAGCACTGTATTCGGTAAAAGCCGAGTGTGGAATTCATATCGATCAGCCATCACGGGGATTCGAACTCGGTGCACCTCATTCGGAGGAGAATGCACTATCCCTTGAGTTCATCTTTATTAGTAATAACTCTGCGGCAGGTACCAAT